ATTGCCTGGATTTTCCTTAGTGTTGGAAAGAGCCTAAGAACAGTAAGGGGCAACCCTTCTTGCTTTCTTCCTTCTACTCTAGTTGAGTCTGGCTTTCTCTTCTCCACCTGCCTCCACATCCTCCTGATGCTGTATCACCAATGCAGGGGACTAGACTGGCTAAGAATGCCCCTCCCCTCCCCCCAGTACCTCCTGTGGGGAGGAGGGTGGGGGAAGTTGAGAGGGATAAAGCTATAATTATTTTAATGAGGGGATGTGAGGAAAGATGGAATAATTGACTGTTATATCTCATTTACTTATCCATCCATTCAGTTACTCAGTAATCATTTATTGAGCACATGCCATATGCCAGAGGCTAAGACTACAGAGGGAGATAAGGCACCATCCTGGTTCTCATGGACCTCAAAATCTAGGGTGGGCAGTGGTGTGCAAGAGCCAGCACTCACCCACTTGCCGGAGCTGCTTGTTAAATTTTTAAGAATTTTGTGAGTCAGTTATTAAATATAGCCCTTATTAAAAATTAAATTATGTAACTTACTAATAAATTTTATTAAAAACAAGCGTAGTAAAGACATCACTTTCTAATTATTTTGCTAATATCTATGCCCTTTAGATTATGTCTATTATACTTGTGTAGTGGAAGTACTATATGGTGGTATAAAGCACATCTCTTCCCAACTCCATGTGTTCAGTGAGATCCCATTGGTGGCTTGAAATCTGCCATGGTGGAGGTATTTACACCAAGGAAATTGGCAAATGTTACAAATCAGGGCTCCCTTCTTTGTAACCAGCTGTTACATATTTACCAGCACACACTCTGTGGGGGAGAGAAGAAGTAAGAGGAGTAAGAGGAGACAGAGAAGTAAGAGGTCACTACAGTATAATACAGAGGGAAGCACAGAGTACTGCGGGAACACAGAAGAGGGGAAGTTAGTCCAGGGTAGTGGAGGATGATAGAGAAGACCTTCAGCAAGAAGTCTGAAGCACTGGTGGGAATGAGCTAGACATAGGGGACAGTGGGTGGGGATAGGGCAAAAGAGCCTGGTTTATTAAGGCAATTGTGAGTATTTTAGTACCTCAGTAACAAGAAGTCTTCAGGACAACGATGAGATTATGCAGGGCCCGGCTGGGTCTCTGAGGCTTATTCTGGATGCAGTGAGGAACCAGTGAGAGGTTTCACATAGAACGTGCCATGCGCACAATGACATTCTGTAAAGATCATTCTGGAGTCTGTGAGGAAGTTACCGTAGTAGCCCAGGTGAGAGATCTCGATGGCCTGGACTGAAGTCGTGGTAGCAGTGACCGTGAGAAGGGAATGCGGTGGAGAGATAGTAAAGGACCTAGGACCGATGGGACTTGTGGTTATATGTGAAGTGAGAGAGAGAGAGGGAGGGAAGAAGATATCAAGGATGATATCCCAGTTTCTTGGATAGGTGAGTGGGTAGTTGGTTATACCTCTGGGATCGAGAATATAGATAGAAGAGTAGGCTTGAGGGAGGGTGGGGAGCATGAGTCGAGTATAAGTTACTGTGAATAATCTAAGTAGGGGAGTCAATTCAGACACTGGATATATGGCTCTGGACTTTAGAGGAGAGGGGAGGGTGGGAGAAAAGGCTGTGGGAGGTGGCGTGCCATGAAGAGGGCCTGATGTTTAGAGTTTATGTATTTTTATATATAACTTCTATAATTAATAGTTTGTGTGTATTGATTTGTAATTTAACTCTGAATACCAGCTCTACTTTCATTTTTTTAAAATTGTCGGGTTGGGGGCAGTGGTTGGGGCAGACCATCTCTTTCTGCTGTGCTCTCTACCACTGTGGGGACAGTGAGAGGTCTTCAGATCAGAGTTCATTGATGAGAACGATGTAATGAAGACCTGCTGTGGGCATGGCCTTATGCTGGGAAGTCTAGGCCGTATGAGAGTCCTTGGACACACAGTCCTTGCTCACCAGGAATGTCGAATCTAGCATGAGGGGGCTGGGTGGCTAAATATGTGTTTTGAAAAGGTACTCAAACACAGGTCAGTATTCTATGTGCTGACTGAGTTACAGGCCAGAAATACTACAGTGGTTTAGGGAAGGCAGAGATCACTTAGGACTGAAGTATTCAAAGGGCTTCATAGAGGAGGCAAAACTTAACTCACTGGACCATTCTGGAAGTCTGGAAAGTGCAAAGTCCAACACAACAAGGGAGAGCAAGCTTCCCAGTTACTAGTCACAGTGGAGGTTGTTGTCAGTGCTTCCAAAATGGCTCTATTTGGTCTACATCTCTTCCATATATGTAAAATAGAACTAATAATTTCTGTCCCCTGGGCTTTTATGAGCTCTAATCTTATTCGTTCTCTGTCAGAAACCTTCAGTTCCTGATCAGTACCAAATTATATTTTCTCTTCCTGTCTTTTTAAGTCTCTCTACAGTTTGAAGACAACATTTATAATGAATATTTGTGCAGTGTTTTACAGTTTCTAAATTTACTCCAGGAATGCAAGTATAGTGTAGTATTAGAAAATATATGTCATATATGACATTGAAAGATTAAAGGGAAAAATCTGTATTATCATCTCATTAGATTCACAAAAACATTTGATAAAATTCAGTTTAACTTTATGATTAAAAAAGAAAACACAAGGGAGTTTTCTTAATTTGATAAAGGCCATCTGCCGAAATCCTAAAATTAACACACAGTGAGGAAACACTACAAACATCTTTTTTAAAAGCAGGAAGATGACAAGAATATTCATTAGCACACTTTATGTTCAACATTCTGTGATATATGACTAAAGGTGGCTTAACAGGTGAGTGGGAAAAAGAACTATTCAATAAGTGGAACTTACAGGAAAAACTTAGATCCATATTTAATATAGTGACATAAATATCAACATCAGATAAAATAAGGGCGTAAATATCAAAAGCAAAAATGTTAAACCTTTGGTATAAAATAGAAATTTATATCTATCTGGCATGGAGTAGGGAAGGAAACTAACTACAAAAGAAATTATACTTGTGGGATTTTTTTTTTTTTCTTTCGGTATGCAGGCCTCTCACTGTTGTGGCCTCTCCCGTTGTGGAGCACAGGCTCCGGACGTGCAGGCTCAGTGGCCGTGGCTCACGGGCCCAGCTGCTCCACGGCATGTGGGATCTTCCCGGACCGGGGCACGAACCCGTGTCCCCTGCATCGGCAGGCGGACTCTCAACCACTGCGCCACCAGGGAAGCCCAACTTGTGGGATTTTTAATATGAAGTTTTTTATCTTTACTGGGTTCTCCCCTTCCTTGATAACATTCTCTGTTTTGAGATTTTCTTCACCTTTTTAGACACATGATTCTAATCATCTGTCTTGATATTTATCATACTGTGCTCAGCTAACTTCTTTGCACCCTGAATGCAGGCAGTCCCCAAGTTCAGAGGTCTGTAGCTTACATTTTCATGCTGAAGTGAAAGTGGGAAGGAAGCCAGAAGAGGCATCTGTCCTGGTCAGACAAGCTGTGGGTCTGGCATGCTGGTTATATTGGAATGTTCCAGTGGTTACCAATCCCAGTGTGAAATCGAGAGAGACTCTCAGGTCTCCGGAACTTTTTCTTAACCATAGCAACGCCTATCTTGAGCCAGTTTGCAAGACTAGGTGGTACCGTCAACGGAGGCCCACTAGGGGAAGGCAAAGGAAGCTACTCTCAGTGTCTTAGAGTTGGAGTGAACTGTGGGTCCCCAAATCTACACAAGTGGAGAAGGTTCTTTTTTTCTACTAGCAAAGCAGAGCTTAACCTGGTCCAAAGAGACATAACTCCAATGTCCTGGGCTTGACTTGGAGCTGAATAGTTTTACCAGTTTGGGGAGAAGGTCCTTTCCTTGCTCAGTTTTTGGATTCTTCTTTCCCACCCCACCGTCAAGTTGAGACTTGTTGCTCAGGAGTGATTGGGCATCTAGCTGGCATCCCATAGGAATTTGAGTGTTTTGTCTTTGGTATAGAGGGCTTTGAGATTATGGGTGGCTCTTGGTAGTCACCACCTGCTCATTTAGGCCACATAGCTAGTCTTTTTTATAGCAATTACAATCCCTTGTCTTTCTATGGGATTATGGTTTCGCCAAAGCTTTCACTCTTGTGCCACTGTTCTCCACGCTGTAGCCAATGTGATCTTTCTAAAGCACAAATGTGTTCACCTACTTCCTGCTCCACTTCTTTGCTTAAGACTCTGATGGCTTCTCTTTGTTTTAGAATGAAATCCAAACTCCTTAGCTTTGTTTATGACGCTTAAAAGACTGCTCAGTCTTCTAGGCTTTTCTCTTGATGCTCTCCTTTAGTTTTACTGAACTTCCAGTGCTTTGAACATACTTGACTCCTTTTCTCTGGGTCTTTGTTCATATTGTTTCCTCTGCTGTTTCCCATCTTCCTTTTTACCTGGCTAATTTCTGCTCTTCCTTAAGACTTCTGTTTTTCCTCAGCTTCTAGTAAGTTTTTCCTCAACCTGCCAGCACTGGGATAGTTGCCTATCCTTTGTGCTTCTGAGAAATGTTTACCTGGCTTTCTCTGTCACTGAACTCTAAGCTTTGTGAAAGCAAGGTCTGTGATTTCCTTATCGTTGTGTTTCTCTTGAACTTAAATACAGTGCTTGGCACATAGTAAACTCCTTTAAATGTTCGTTGAATGAACCAACATCCCTGTGAATGAGTGGTATAGTGCTTAATCTCCCCTCACCCCCTACCCTTTTAGGGATGGAGAGATGGAGGATAAGGACCTCCCACAAAGTTACACCTGTGCTTGATGGAAGAAGCTGAGCTCGGATCTGAGGAGTACATTTTCTGAGGGGTGCATTTTGCACTGGAAGATCCTGAAGAAATTCCTGACCCAGTGATTTCCTTCCCTGCTGGGTCTGTGGTGAAGAGAACAGGCTGACAGAGATGCTCCTGGTGGGTGGGCAAATGCATGGGTTTGTGGCAGTTGGATGAACGAGTTTACCAACATGTGATCCTATCTTTCCCTTCCCACTCCCTTCCTGTTCACAGCATCAAGCTGAGCTCCCAGCCCCCAATACAGGCTGGGGATGACGAAAAGAACCAGAGGACGATCACTGTCAACCCTGCCCACATGGGGAAGGCGTTCAAGGTTATGAATGAACTGCGGAGGTACTTTTCCTATTTTGCTCGTGCCCTTTTGGAAGGAACTTGCTGGGTGAGCGTCATCAGGGACTGAGAACAGAGGTCAGAACACCACCAACTAGTGAAGTCTGACTCTTCCTCACCCACACTCATCACTTGGCTTTCCCTTTCAAACTCTGATAGAGACAGAATGGCTTCCTCAAATTTCTCTCTTTCCTTTGTATTTATTTAACACCTATTGTTTCAGTGCTTAATCACTGGGGAAAAAAATCCATTAGGGTTACAGCAGTTCTGTTCATAAACTTGATTTCCAACTGAACCAGCTGCATGAAGGCCAGTAATAGAATGATTGCAACACCTACACACAATTGCAGATTAAAGATTGTGGATGCCAGGCATTTTCTTTGGGCCTCCCTCTCTCATGCTTTGGTCTGAACTTTTGTCTTTGTCAAGACAACCACATGAATGGAAGAATACCTAGCTTCTAAAATGCAGTTTAACTCTTTAAAGAAAGAAATGAAATGCAGAAGCACTCATCCTCACTGAGCTAAACAGTGAGGGCTGTGCAGGCTATTTGTAAGACCAATGTGCATGTTTGCTGAGCTTTTTTGCAAGACAGGTTCAGGGCACTGGACATGTTTTTCTGTACGAAGGCTGTGCATACAATCTCTTCTTTATCAGAGAGCTCAGAAGCTTCCTCTGCCCATGGCATTATTTGTTATCTTTTTTATTGAAATACAGTTGATTTACAATGTTGTGATAGTTTCAGGTGTACAGCAAAGTGATTCAGTTATATATTTTCTTTTTCAGATTCTTTTCCATTATAGATAACTATAAGATATTGAATATAGTTCTATGTGCTGTACAGTAAATCTTGTTTATCTATTTTATATATAGCAGTATGTATCTGTTAATCCCAAACTCCTAATTTGTCTCTCCCCCACCCTTTGCCCTTTGGTAAACATAAGTTTGTTTTCTATGTCTGTGAGTCTATTTCTCTTTTGTAAATAAGTTCATGTGGATCATTAGTTTAGATTCCACATATAAGTGATATCATGTGATATTTATCTTTCTCTGTCTGACTTACTTCACTTAGTATGATAATCTCTAGGTCCATCCATGTTGCTGCAAATGGCATTATTTCATTCTTTTTTATGGTTGAGTAGTATTCTGTTTTATATATATATATATATATATATATGTAAAAAACGGTGGTGTATATATATCTATATCTATATCATATATATATGGTATATATATACCATATCTTCTTTATCCCTTCATCTGTCAATGGACATTTAGGTTGCTTCCATATCTTGGCTATTGTAAATAGTGCTGCAATGAACATTGAAGTGCATGTATCTTTTTGAATTAGAGTTTTCATCTTTTCCAGATATATGCCCAGGAGTGGGATTGCTGGATCATATGGTAGCTCTATTTTTATTTTTTTAAGGAAATTTCATACTGTTCTCCATAGTGGCTGCACCAATTTACATTCCCACCAACAGTGTAGGAGGGTTCCCTTTTCTCCACACCCTCTCCAGCATTTATTATTTGTACATTTTTTGATGATGGCCATTTTGACTGGTGTGAGGTGATGCCTCATTGTAGTTTTGATTTGCATTTCTCTAATAATTAGTGATGTTGAGCATCTTTTCATGTTTCTGTTGTGCCCATGCCATTATTTACCGCATATTTCATCCTATTGTGAGTTGTAACTGCTTATACCCTCTTTGTAGTTCATGCACTCCCTGAGGGCAGGGGCAACTTCTGAATCATTTTAATCTCTAGCACCTCGTACTTCATAGGAGCTTTGAGTTATCCACCAAAGATGCCCAGACATACTGGCTAGGCTCTGGGATGCGTGGGTGAGGGTACAAGGTAAAAAATGATAATAAGTCAATGAAAATGGTCTTTCTACAGTGCAAATAGGTGTTATGAAGGAAAACTGCATCAGGTGCCTGCCAGGTGGTAGGTATGCAATAATTGTTAGTTTATTAAAGGGTGTCGTGAAAGCAAGCATGTCAAACCGCAACTTTGGAGAGCACTTCCTAAAGGGGAAGATGCTTGAGCTAAATTCTGAAGAACAAGTAAGAGTTAGAGAAATGAAAAGTGGTAAGGTTAGGGGGAAGTCTTCCAGCCAGAGAAAATGGCATGAGCAAAAGCACATATAGCTGAAGATGTGTGTTTTGGGTAGGGGCTTAAACTACTAGTAAACAAAAATTCTATATTCATTTACTCATTTCTCCTTCCTGCAAGGCCTAGTCTTTGGCATTAAAAACCAAGTTAAATTAGATTTGTCTTATGCCCTACTGATCAAAAATTTTTTAATTAATTAATTTTATTTTTGGCTGCGTTGGGTCTTCGTTGCTGCGCACGGGCTTTCTCTAGTTGCGGCAAGCGGGGGCTGCTCTTCGTTGTGGTGCACGGGCTTCTCCTGTGGTGAGAACACAATATAAGATCTACCCTTTTACCAAATATTAAGTACAGAATACAGTATTTTTTATATAAATTTATTTTGTTATTTATTTATCTTTGGCTGTGTTGGCTCTTCGTTGCTGAGCGCGAGCTTTCTCTAGTTGCAGCAAGGCGGGGGCTACCCTTCGTTGTGCTTCTCTTCTCTTGTTGCGGAGCACGGGCTCTAGAGCACAGGCTCAGTAGTTGTGGCGCATGGGCTTAGTTGCTGTGCGGCATGTGGGATCTTCCTGGACTAGGGCTCGAACCCGTGTCCCTTGCATTGGCAGGCGGATTCTTAACCACTGTGCAACCAGGGAAGCCTTACTGATCAATTTTTATTAGGCTTCCTGCCAGATTTCCTAGAAGCTCCATCCACAGTTGTTTTAGGCAGTGGGCAGTGCTAACGTTCAATCCTAATTCTCTTTTGTCACTAAAGAATTTGTGTTGTGTTCCCTAGACACTGTTGAAGTTCCTCATTTAGTGCCCTTGAGTATGGCTTGTGTCCTTTGTCTGATTTAAGACTTCAGGTCTCCAAATAAACAACCTAACTTTACACCTCGAGGAATTAGAAAAAGATGTTCAATCTAAGCTCAAATTTAGCAGAAGGAAAGAAATAATAAAGATTAGATAAAATGAAATAGAGACTAGAAAGACAATAGGAAAAAAATCCATGAAACTAAGAGCTGTTTCTTTGAAAAGATAAACAAAATTGACAAATCTTTAGCTAAACTAACCAAGATAAAAAGAGAGAGGACTCACAATTATAAATGAAAAAGGAGACATTACAGCTGTTAGCACAGAAATACAAATCATTGCAAGAGGCCACTATGAAGAATTATATACCAACAAATTGGATAACCTAGAAGAAATGGATAAATTCCTTGAAACATATAAACTATGAAGACTGGATCAAGAATTGGAAAATCTGAACAAACCAGTAATGATTAAGGAGATTGGATTGGTAATCAAAAAGCTCTCAATAAAGAAAAGCATGACCAGATGGTTTCACTGGTTAATTCTACCAAACTTTCAAAGAATAATTAACACTAGTCCTTCTCATACTCTTCCCAAAACTTGAGGAGGAGGGAATACTCCCAAACTCATTACCAGCATTACCCTGATACCAAAGCCAGCTAAGGACACTACAAGAAAAGAAAACTGTAGGCCAATATCCCTGATAAATATTGATGCAAAAATTCTCAACAAAATTCTAGCAAACAGTGTATGTATGATTTGGTAAAATTTGATCTGATAAAAGGATCATATACCATGATCAAGTGACATTTATCTCTGGGATGCAAGGGTGGTTCAAGATAATGAAATCAATAAATGTGATATACCACATTCATAGAATGAAGGATAAAAAACATAAGATCCTTTCAATAGATGCAGAAAAGCTGTTTGACAAAATTCAACATCCTTTCATAATAAAAGACTCCCAACAAATTGGGTATAGAAGGATCATACCTCAACATGTTAAAAGCCCTGTATGACAAACCCACAGCTAACATCATAATGGTGAAAGTTTGAAAGCTTTTTCTCTGAGGTCAGGAAAAAGACAAGAGTGCCCACTTTTACCGTTCTTTTTGAACATAGTACTGGAAGTTCTCGCCAGAGCACTTAGGCAAGAAAAAGAAATAAAAAGGCATCCAAATTAGAAAGGAAGAAGTAAAATCATCTCTGTTTGCAGATAACATGATCCTATATATAAAAAACCCTAAAAAACTCCACCAAAAAGCTGTTAGAACTTAAAAACAAATTTGGTAAAGTTGCAGTATACAAAATCAACATACAAAAGTCAGTTTCATTTCTATACAATAACAAATTATCTGAAGAAGAAATAAAGCAATCTCATTTACAATAGTGTCAAAGCAATAAAATATTAGGAATAAATTTAACCAAGAAGGTGAAAGATCTGTACACTGAAAACCATAAGACATTGATGAAAGAGATTGAAGAAGAGACACAGATAAATGGAAAGATATCCCATACTCGTGGATTGAGAGAATTAATATTGTTAAAATGTCCATACTCCCCAAAGCCATCTGTAGATTCAGTGCAATCCCTATCCAAATTCCAATGGCATTTTTCATAGAAATAGAAGAAACAATCCTAAAATTTGTATGGAACCACAAAAGACCCTAAACAGCCAAAGCAATCTTGTAAAAGAAGAGCAAAGTTTGGAGACATCACACTCTCTGATTTCAAACTACAGTTGGCCCTTGAACAACATGGGTTTGAACCGCAAGGGTCCACTTACCTGGATTTTTTTCATTAACTGCTATTGTACTACACTATCTGTGGTTGGTTGAATCCTGGATGTGGAATTGTGGATATGGAAAAGTTATATGTGGATTTTCGACTGCATGGGGAAGGAGGAGTTTGCTCCCCTAACCCCCATGTTGTTCAAGGGTCAACTGTATATGACAAAACTATGGTAATCCGAACAGTATGGTATAGACATGGAGACCAGTGGAACAGAATTGAGAGCCCAGAAATAAACCCACATGTGTATGGTCAACTACTATTTGACAGAGGAGCCAAGAATACTTAGTGGGGAAAGGGTAGTC